TTGCCGCTCAACACTTTTTGTGAATTTTAATAATGAACGCCTTTGAAGAGCAGAGATGAGATATGCACCCGCCTGACTCGAAACTAATATTCAGGCAGCTCGTCAATTCTCTCCTACCAGAAGGGTGAGATCTGACTATGAAACATGTAGAAGTCTTCAGAGGCTTGACAGGGAGACCTCAAAGCAGTAACGTGCCTGAGGGAACAGCGGTCCGCCGTACTTCTCGAGCTCAGCTTAAAGGCAAGATTCGGGATAAAATAGGTGTGGAAAAGCGTTCAGTTATGAAGCTATAGGTGGGAGGTGGTCTGTAAAAGAGAAGGAAAGCAAACGAAACCACCGATTACGCCCCGTACAGAGACCTCCCTATTTCAGCCGCATTCCACCTTGGGATAGAGAAGGGGCGCGTTGGACGAGTTTCACGAACCTAACTCTAGTTGCTCCAGTGCCAATGACATTGGGTCGCAATGGGACCGCTGCCTCAAATGCGCCCGCGCTTTTCAAGCAGCGCCACGTGGCAACCGACAGCGGAGGGTGGGGCTTGCGGACGAAGGTGTGAGTTGCGGGTCGGACGAGCTCCTTGCGCCTTTGTCGCGCACTTTCAAGCGGCAAAAGGGGCGCGACATCAACACTTGTCCGCCTGCCTACTACCCCGGGATGGAACTACTCCCGGAGCGTGCCTTTAAGTTTTTTTTGCGGTGTGAGGCCATAGAAGAAGTTTAGGGTTGTCGCCAGTTTACGACTTCTAAAGCGTTCCTCGGAAAGGATGACAGACAATCTATTCAAAGAAGCATCCTCAATTCTCAGCACCCATCCTCCCGGGAAAAGGAATCGAAAAGAAGCCTATGCGTTTGCCCCAAATACTAGAGAAAATTATGCATACCTTATTCATTCCATCTATGCGGAAATCAACGGGCAAGGAAGGTGTCCATTACTCGGGTTCCGGGCCGTTTCACATTGTTTCTTCTTCTTCTTCACTGACCACCTCTACCCTTATTTCCAATATTCTACTTTTTCTTCGTAAAATCCGCCTTTAAAATATCCATGCACCCCGAGGATTTCCTTCTCCTGCACGTTTCTGTATGCGGCAGCGGGAACAGCAATTTTGGTGAAGATGGGTGTTGCACCAGACTGGCGCTAAATTGCACCAAACGTCGCAGCCGCCAAAATGATTGTCACATACGTTAACGGCACCGAATTACCACTAGGCAAAGCTTTTTGGCAAGTACCGCAAAAAATAAAACCCTGTCGTTGTGATAGTTGAATAGTATCGACTGTGCAAAATGCTTTATGGAGGGCTTATCAGCTAATTACCGAGATTCGATAGCACAATCGATGGGCGCTCATTTTGTTACGGGGGGGGGGATGGGGTGGGAGGGGGACGAGTTAAGTTGAGTGAGGCCACGTTACATACAACTTTAAGGACTAACCTAAGGAGTGGAGAGAAATTCTGCGAAACGCGTAGCAACCTTTGCCCCCTCGCTTTGGCGTTCCTTTTCTCTAAGCTATTTCCACTCACCGTGGGGTCGTTACGTTTTAACCGCATTCGTGACAAAAGGCAGTCACCCATGCTCCAAAATCTCACTCGAGCAAAAGTGCATTCTCCGGCGGCTGCCAAAAATCCTTCTAACTCGGGAACAGTGGCATCCCGCCGCGCGGCTTGCCGGGTTTTCAGATGAATGACGGAGCCTTCTTTCATGAAAAGAGTCTTCATACCCTCACTCATCTGGGCCAGGCCTAAGCAAAGAAAATCTCCGTCCACTCAAACTTTAGTGAAGAAAAATCTTCTCTCACCGCATGCGCATCAGCGCTGGCTCTGCTAACAGCCAGAAACCATTGAAAGTCCGCGTGCGAGTCCGCATGGTTAAGTCCCTGTTTCCAAATTGCCATGGGTTGAATGACCCCCTCTCCTCCTCCCGTAAACTACCACATACAGAAATATCACAATTCGCAAGAGAAAGCGGTGGTTGCTAACTTAGTTGGGGGGGGGCACGCGGCGGCGCGGCAGTCTGCTCGCCTGGCATGTTCGGAAATCCGTGGGCCAGGGGGAGTGTAGGCAGTCTAGGGGGTGGGGGTGGGGGCAGTCACTTGACATGCGTGAAAAGCTGGAATGTTCGAGTTTACACTGTCTCGCTCGAGAGAGCCCAGGTGAGCAGACTGCCGCGCCGCCGCGTGGCCCCCCCCCAACTAAGTTAGCACCGCGAAAGCAATTCTTGGGGTGCGTGAACCACCTCGCCCCAATTTTGACAGCAACCCCGAGCTTCCCTTCCTTTGCAAAAAATTGGCTTACTTCCAGCAACATAAACTGCCGCACCACAATGCCGCCTCCCCCTTACTGGATAAGTCCCCGAATTTTCCAGAAGACCCGAATAATCGAATGACTCGAACGCAGCCGATTCTCGGCCTTTAGTCGAGGCGATTACGACCAAAAAGACGGCGGCAGAGTTGAAAGCGATTTAAAATTCGCGGCGTGCAGCCTATGTTCGTTGGCTGAGTATTCGACGTTGACCGTGGACGACGCTTGGCGCGCCGGCCGCTCCGCCGCCAATGCGGCGCCGATTTTCAGCCCGGCCCAGGCCGACCGTCGCCACACTTGCCCAGTCACGTTGGCTGCTGTTCTCTCGTTGTTCTGGAAGCCTTCATCTCAGTCCGACACGTGTTATCATCCGAGCCTTTGCGCGCTTCTCCACCGTAGCCATTTTTCGGCCCCGGGTTAGGTCGTTGCCTTCTTGGCCGTATTTTCTGATTGTCGTAATGTTCGCCGATACTTGTACTTCAGGGGCATTCAAAAGTGTTCGTAAACATCCAGAAACCACTCAAAGGACTGTTTTCTTCTGACGTGTCACATTCTGGTCCCGTGTGGAAAATGCACTTAATTTTTGTAAATCAACTGTTTTCAGGTCATAACTGCATACTTCTGCAACTGTTTGCCTGATTATCACGTGTGTTTGTCGCACCAGTGAACAACATGAGCGCCGCAGACACGAAAGTCGCTGCTGTAACGACCGATGAAAACTGGAAAGCTGGCCTCGTTCTGCCCGCAAAGGATAAGCGCTTCAAAACCGCGGTATTGATTTGCAAAAAAACACCCTTGATTTCGAAATCAGAAATGAAATACTGTTGAAAAATGGGCTATTTGTTTACAGGATGTCACGGATACAAAAGGCGTCGAATTTGAGGATTTTTGCCTCAGTCGTGATTTACTGATGGGTATCTTTGAGAAAGGTTGGGAAAAGCCGAGTCCTATTCAGGAGGCTTCTATCGGTGTAGCTTTGTCAGGTATGGCCTTTTTGAGTTGAAAATAGTTTAGCATAATTCAGTCAATGAAACAAATAAAATATACATGTCAAATATACTTACAAAAGCGAAAATGGGTGTGAACATTATCGTGGCAGTTTCTGATGGCTGCCGTTCTAGGGGCTGTGCACCTGTGGGAGCGCGCGCACTCGCTCAGGATATGAGTATCGATTATACGCGCGCAATTTACGTGAGAGTGGCAGCTTTTTCGAATCTATTCCCCGAATATTCGAGTTTGCGAAAAGAATTGTATACTTTCGGCCATGAAATCTGCGCACGCGCGAACGCGGATGCGAAAAGGTTTAGATGCGTATCGAGCGTATTCAATTCCGCCCTATCAGCGTTTCGCGTCGAGGCTTCGAAAACACGAAACCGATGAGCCACGCCTCCATTTCACCTGATCGATAGACATACATCTCTTCTGAAAATTCGCAATTCGAACGTGCGATTCGAAGCCCCTCCTGTTTTGTCGATCGATACGCATTTAAACCTTCGCAGATCCGCAGATTCGTTCGTTCCGAACGTCCTTCGGCTGTGGCGCAAGGTGTGAACAGTACTAAGATTGCTTCCTTCCGAACGCAGGTACCGCTGGG